AGCCAATGCAAGTGACAAAGAGGCAAATAAAAACAAACAATTGAAAAAGAGTAAACAAAAAGCCAATAATGCAAGTGACAAAGAAAGCTCCAACCAGTCTGTGACAAATGTTGAAGTCAACAGAAATAAGCAAGATTCAGATACTGATAATGAAAACTTTTTAACAAATAATGAAATTTCAGCTTTGCTTAAAAGATTGGAAACTTTGGAAAAGCTTCAGGCTGCCCGTAACAAGAAGACAAAAAATTGAAAATTTGATGCCAATTCTGATGATACTGATAATGATGCATCCAAAAAAAGAAAAAACAAAAATACTAAAAAAAGAAACACCACAAAAAAAAAATAAAGATATATCTAGTTTAGAATCAGAAAGCATTAGCAATGAGGTTTCTATTGTATATATATATTCCTTAATCTTTGACTGATATCATTATTATACTGTATAATTCACAACGAAATTGTTTTGTAAAAAAGTTAGTTCCAATTGAAAAGCCACATGATATGTCATATATTGATATTCTCAAAGTTCTTCAGTTAGACAAAGCTATATACAATAGTTATCGAGTAGCAAAATTATTGTCATTATTACTGTAGTTTTTATTATTATTTTATTTTGTTAACAGCTATTTTAGAAATCACTTCATTTAATGATAATGGCTAAATATGGAAAAAATTCCTGAGTTTTGAAGAATACCAGAAAATAAAAAAGCTAAATTATTAAAAAGGAAAATATAATTTCATTTCAATTGCTCTTTCTAATTGCTTTTAAATAATTAAATGAATTTTTTATTTAGTTTAAATGCAGGATTCCAAGGTTTTCTTCTACTGCTTGTGATTGGGCTATTAGACAAATAATGCAGGGAATAATAATAATAAATGTATATATATATATAATTTCACATGATATAAAAGTATATAAAACTAATCGATTCATTCTTTTAATAGAGAATATTGAAAAGCATAATAAGAGAATTCATTTATTTCATCATAGTAAGAAAAAAAAAGGATAAAAAAAAATAAAATAAAATTGTTAATTTCTATAATCTATATATCTCTTTAATTGATAATCTGCCTATCAACTAGAGAATAGGTGAAATGAGATGCCTGCCATATAAAACATTTTTTACTATATTAACAATATATGCTTACTAATTAAAAGTTGTAGAGCTCACTGAGATGCATCTAACAGTGGTTAAATCATCCAAATTGGCCTAGTAGATAGCGAGATATTGTCAAAATACAATTGGTCGACTATATAAAAATTCATGATAGAAATTATATATGAAAATCACTATTGGCGAAATGTGGCGTGCTTCTATCTAAAACTTTTTTTAACTAAATTAATGATACATGCCCATTAAATGAAAGTTGTAGAGCTCATCAAGACACATCTAACAGTGGTTAGATGCATCTTGACGAGCTTTACAACTTTCATTTAATGGGCATATATCATTAATTTAGTAAAAAAAAAGTTTTAGATGGAAGCACGTCTATTTCGCTGATAGTAATTTTCATATGTAATTTTTGTAATAAATTTTATATAGTTAACCAATCATATTTCAATGATATCTCACCATCTACTAGACCGATTTGGATGATCTAACTACTGTTAGATGCATCTCGATGAGCTCTACAACTTTTAATTAGTAAGCATTTATTTTTAATATAATAAGAAATGTTTTATATGACAGATGTCTCATTTTACTTATTCTCTAGTTGATAGGTAGATTATCAATTAATAAATTAAGATTTATCTACCAGAATGAGTGATACTATATAATCATCCTCATAGGTTTCTACTTATTTAACATTAAATGAAACCTTTGAAGAATCTGTATGTATACTAAAACATTAAGTATTTTATGTAAAGATAAAATAATTTTTTTTATATTATTTTATTTAGACTGTTGATAAAGATCAATTCTTAGAAGATGTTGAAACCTCAAGCACACTAAATAATACAAATAATGCTTGCTTGACATCTTCATCCTGTACTACTCCATTAATTGCTCTTCAACATCAGAATACCAATCACATAACTCAAAATATAAGTCAAAATAGTACAATTGAACCGTCAAGTAGATCTGATAGAAGGTCCCAAAATTCTGATTGCAACCTACGTAACCGTACTCTCAGGTATATTAACCTATTGAATTTTTGAAACACACTGATAAATATGAATAATTATAATATTATATAAATAGAACATCCACACAAACTGAAGAAAGTAATATGCCAACTAAAGGACAATCTTTAAAAATGCCTGGTAAAACAAAAACTAATGGTATGAGATATTTACATATATTTCTGAATATTTAATAAATTGAAACTAATTATAATTTTATTGACAGGAAAAGCAAAGAAAGATACATAGATTCATATAATTGTCCAAAATTTGTTTAAATTAATTCACTTAAAAGCTGTTTAAATTTTTGTCAGCAATATGTATAAATAAAGTTAGGTGATAACTTATTAATATTTCAATTGTGAATCATTTGCATACATAATATATTATTTATATAAAATTGAATAAAATATATATCCTTTTGCAATAACGCTAAAACATACATTGAACATAATCAACTTGTAATACATACATTAATTGCATAATACTATGATATTAGTAAGTTAAAAATTCAATAAAAAAATCATATACATATACAAAATTTTACAAATTAATGTTTAAAAATTTGTTAAAAAAATCGACTCCATTTCGAACATTTTTTTAAACAAAAATTAAACATAATATTGAACATACAACTAAACAAATTTAGAATATTTATTGGATAAACTTTTTTTATAGAGTTTTTAAGTGTCAATAAAATTATAATGCTCTTTAAGTCTGCTAAATTACTCCAAATTGTAATAATACTTAACCTTAGCCTTGAACTGTGCCAATCGATTCTGTCTTTAAACTGTTGAGTAACCTTTGAGATGCTTTACTTTTGTATATATAAGTTGTTTAGTTGGCCTACAACACTAGTGATCTTGTAGCCATATTTGAATGATTTTGTACTATTTTAATTATCTTAATAAAATAATTCAAGCAGTACTAAAACCATCCAAATCCAGTCACAAGATTATTAGTTATTAAAGATAAATTAAATTTTAACTAATTATGATCTAGATCACAATAAAAATTTAATTAATTTTTGATATCTAGTTGTCTTGTAACTTGATCTAAATAATTTTGGTGCTATTCTAATTATCTTAATAAAATAATTTGAATGGTACCAAATTTATCAAAATCTAGTTACAAGATAACTAGATAATAAAAATAGATTAAATTTTAACTAATTATAATCTATATACTATAAAGAATTTGATTTAATCAAAGTTAACCAATCTTAGTTAAAAATTAAATCTAAAATTAAACTATTTTTAAAATACAACTATAGTATAACAAAAAATTTAAAAGAGCAGTTTAGCATTTAATTATATAATATAGATTAAATACTATAAAGGCTTTTAAAATATTATATAACAAAACTATATATAGCTATATACAATATATTTTATTATTTCAATAATCTGGTCTGTATATTATTAAAATATAGTACTAGATACTAGTATGGATATTTTATTTAGACAATTACTATTTGTATATTAGTATATAAACATGGTATATATAATACTTAAAATTTTGCTTATAAACTACAATTTGGGCTTTAACAAAAAATATTTATTGCAAATTTTATTATAAACTATAACCTTTTCTAATTTCAAAGTTTAACTAACCTTACCCTTAAATCAAGATTAATTTTGGTCTATAATTTATATATTATACTTTATAAATCAATTAATTAATATCTATATACATATACTTAGTATATAAATTGTTTTTGCTTTATTTTATTAGTATAAGTGCTAGTATTTGTATAGCTATAACTAATTATTTAAATAAAATTGTAGCTATCAATAATAGTTAAACTATTTGATATATAGTTAGCAGTAGAACTAATTTAGTAAATTAATAGACAATCTATCTGTTAGATGAAAAAAATCTACTATTAAGCCAAATGTTAAGCACTCCAATTTAAATTTTTTTTATTAATGGATTGGATTTAAGGTTTTATACTAAATCTAGTACGTTTTTAAAAACTCATAAAAAATTAAAAAAAAATATATAGCTTAATTTTTTTTGTATACAAGAATCTGATAGATATTCAAAAATTATTTGGTATAATTTTTTTTTATATTAATAATAAAATTATTAAAATATAATTTTTTTTATGACTATTATAATTTAGTATATATGCATTGTTACACACCCACCTGATCGACCAATCAGATTATAAGATTAGGTGTAATGTGAAATCGAAAAAAATAGTGATGTTTTAAAAAAATCGCTTGTAACTCATAATTTTGCTTATGAAACCATCTTTTGCATTCTAACAAAAAAAATTTCTTGCAAAATTTTGGGTATAACCAACAATCTAATCTAACCCTACATTTGGGCTAACCCTTACTCTAAATTAATGCATTGTTGGTTTGTTTTGATTTCACATTACACCAGATCTTATGAAGTGTGTCACAACTAGGGTTCAGAGCACAGGGGCATAGGCATGCCTATGAGCATGCCTCAAGTTCAAAGGGCATGCCCTTGTCATGTGATGTTTAAAGTTATTTTAATTGGCTAATAAGTTCAGGTA